GGAAAACACTTTGCACGGCGCCTCGCCGTGGGTGCTTACTGACGTTAGCAGTCACACCGGGAGCTCAGCGCCCCCTGTCGTTGAGCGAGCCACGGATGCATGAATGGACGCTCGCCTGCCTGGGAAGGTAGGGTACGTCGCCGCTGTGCAATGTGAACTCTGGCCCAGGAGATTTGGGCCTGATGGAGGGGACATTGGGGGAGCTAGTGCTGCTTGGGGGGAGCGAAACCCAAGTGCAAACAGGAGTGGTATAAATAGAATGAAGTCCTAGAAGGATTGTTCCAGTAGGAGAGAGGCTGGATTAAACGTAGGTGAGATTGGAGGAGGGGAGAAAGCGTCAGGTGGCCGTGCTGGCTTCCGGTGAGAGGAAGGGGAGGGCCTGAGCTGGGGCAGAATGCTGGGCAGAAGCAGAGAGGCTGCTGTCATGGAGGAAACCCATGGCTTCCCGAGGTTCCTCCACGACAGCCGGTGCTATCGCCCGGGCCTCCGGTTCCCCCACACTCTGACCCCCCTCCATTCTGAAGCACGTCCTCCCCTCCAAGTAAACCCAGGTTATTCCTGGAAAGTCCTTCCCTTTTTCCTCCCCTGCTTCACGCCTCCCCATCCTTTGCTCTGGTTCTCATGTCCCTTCCTCCAGGCAGCCTTCCATGATCTCTTAGACCAGACGAGATTTCCTGGCCTTTCCTGCAGCACACTGGGCACAGATTTTAATTAGGTTTGAGATTCTTGGAAAAACGTCAGTCTCATCCCCACAGCCCCGCATGGGCCCCCTTGTCCTATTGCCTGCTGGGTGCTCTGTGGCGGTCACCGTGCCTGGCGCCGTGAAGGTGCCCGGTCAACCTGCGTGCAGCAGACGAGCGCATGCAGGGGACGTTCTGGAGGGCGACTCCGGCCCTTCCCAAAATTGTCTTTTGGGAAGAAAATAATATCAATGTCTTGTGCATTGTCTCCCACAGGCCTTATTAAAAGTGACAATATAAAACATAATCTTCCCTTAGATGTGGCCAGCAAAGCAGAAAGCCACAAATATTTCATCCCGTCTGGACAATAGAGAGATAAAAGGCAAGCGATCAATTCCCAAATTAAAATCAGCCACCACTGTGCTTGTCAGCCCACTGATTGTGGAGAGAGTTAAAAAAAAGACTATAGCCAAAAAGGGGTTTTTATTTTATCTATAATTTAAGTTTAGGAAAGTCCATGATGTGCTGACTTGTGGGGATAAGGCCATGAGTCAGCACATTTCTTTCTGTTTCCAGCCTGATTCAATAAAAACAACCCCCCCACAGCTGCCTCTGTCCTCACCGCGAAAGACAATACAGGCCCCGGCCTCCCGAGCGGGGTGTCTGCTGGAAGGGCCGCCCGGGCCTGGGGGTTCCTCGTGGCCGAGACTGTCCCTGCCTCACCTTGACAGTGGCTGACGGCTCAGGAGGGCGCTGAGAAACGGGCGAAGCAGGCAGCCCAAGTACAAGAGCTGCCTTTCTCTAACTCCAGGCGATAGGTGCTCGCTGTTTGGGCGGATTGGAGGTGTCTGATCACCAGCCTGCACCCGGTCCCTCTGCCCACGGAAGGCAGGTTCAAAGAGAGGTGAAGGTCGAAGGGCAGCTTCAGCTTAATTACCTCCCAGAAAAGGGGCTTCGGGGGTGTTCTGTCAGAGGATGCATCTTAGACCTGGGCAGAAGGCAGGCTTCCCGAAGTTTCCAGGGCTCCTCCACCCCACGACCCCGCCGCTAGCTGCGCCTTGGGACCCCTGGGGAGGCTGGGGCTGCAGGGCACTGTCCCTTAGCGTCTGCTCCCTGTGGGGGGGCCTGGGCACGCCTCCCCCTCCCTGGCTGAGGGAGGGTGGGGGCGGTCGCAGGGCTTCCGAGGCGGGCCTCTCACCCCGCCTGTGAGCAGGGACGGGGCTGTCGGTAACGAGAAAAGGAACAATTAAGTAATGACCCCCTTTGTCCCTAATAATGCATTTTTTTTTTTTTTTTGCCTTAAGGTCTGGCTTGTCTGATGTTCATATAGGAAGGCAAATTTCTTTGGGTTAAGATACCGTATTTTGCTGTGTATGAGGTGCACTTTTTGCCCAAATTGCTGAGGGGAAACTAAGGATGCACACCATGGGTATAATAATGGGCTAAGAATCCTGTGTACAACGCACACAAAAACGTGGGTGCACATTATACACTGCAATACATGGTCACCGTTTTGTATTTTGAGGGTGAATCTTGCAAAAATTAAGTAGCCAGATTTTAAGTTCTAAATAGGTGATGTATTTATACTTTAACAGATTTAATCCACTTACATATAATGCGATTAATGTGATGACTCATTTCTATCCTATTGTATTTTTTGTTTTATGTTTATTCTGCCTCTTTTTGGATTCTTTCTTTCTTGCCATCTACTGGGTAGGTATACTATTTTTATTCCCCCTCTATTATTTGGAATTATACACTTTGTTTTCCTATTCTTTTTGGATATTCTTAAATTTGGAAGATGCATGCTTATTAAAGCTAAAGTTAGCCAGCATCTCTATTGTTTTCTGGTACAAAATAAATTCTTACACTGTTTTAAATCTATTTGCTCCCCATGTTTTATTTTTATCTTTTTAGAGAGAGAGGAAGGGAGGGAGAGAGAGAGGGAGAGAAACATCGACATGAGAGAGAAACATTCATTGGGCGCCTCTCGTACATTCCCCGACTGGGGTGCAACCCACAACCCAGGCAAGTGCCCTGACCTGGGATCGAACCCATGACCTTTTGATCTTTTGGTTGATGGGCCGATGCGTCATCCGACGGAGCCACACTGGCCAGGGCACTGCTCTTGTTTTAAAACATCCAAAGGGAGTCATTATTGCTGTAATCATTACTTTAAACAGCATATTGAGGTTCTCTTGCACAGAAGCGCTTTGCTGACCGTGGCCTCTGACGTCCGGCCCTTGCGTCCGTGTCCTTCTTCCCGAGATCTTCTCTGGGAGAGCTGCTTTGTTAGAATCTGAGGGTAGGTCATTCTCCTTTGTCTTTGTCTGAAAATGTCTTTCACTCTTACCTTTGTAAAGTAATTTAACTGAGCGCGGCCCTGAGGCCGACAGGGGTCTCCCCAAGGCCTCCAAAGCCCGGGCTCCGCGGCTGCCGGTGCAGAGCGCGCTGGCGGCCCCGCGGCGCTTTGTGCACACCCGGCCTTTTCTCTCACAGGGCATTACGACTTCCTCCAGTTCTGCGGGTCCCTGCGGAGCCGCCCCGGAGTGGGCTGAGGTGCGGTCTTCCTGCTGGTACTCCTGTCTGTCCTCAGTTCAGGACATTCTTGTCACACTATGTTTAAACATTGCTTCTTTCCCATATTTTCACTCTGGAATTTCTATTTGGCCTATTCTGTTCTCTTTAAAATATTTATTTTGTGCTCTGATCTTTCTATTATCTGGCATTTCTGGTGGTGTTAAGTCTGGTTTCTCTTGTTCACCAGTGTTTGCTCACAGTGGCTTTTTCCGTTGTGTGGTTTGTTATTTTGATTTTGGGCTCATTATTTTCTCTCTCTCTCTCTCTCTCTTTCTTTCTTTCTGTCTGTCTTCCTTCCTTCCTTCCTTCCTTCCTTCCTTCCTTCCTTCCTTCCTTCCTTCCTTCCTTCCTTCCTCCTTCCCTCCCTCCCTCCCTCCCTCCTTCCTTCCCCTCCTTCCCCCCTCCCTTTTTTGGCATGGGCATCTTATGAACCTGGGCCATAGAAACATCCCTGTGGAACGATTCTGGGCTGGCTTCAGCGTGGGCCCACAGGACCCAGGGCTGCTGATTAGGAATTCGCTTTGGGATCGACCTACGGGCAGGGCGGCATTCCCAAGCAGGTGTTAGAAACCCGGACAGCGGCCCACCCCATCCCAACCATGCACTTGTGAGGCGAGCGGGGTTTTCAGATTCTCTATTGTTACAGATCTTTCTTCTGTTCAGGACACCTGGGGCCAGCCCTCCCTGCCCTGCTTCTCTGGGTGGAATTTTTCTCAACCCCTTCTCATGGGGAACACAGTTCCCTGGGGGCCTGCCTTCGGCGGGCTTTCTGTCAGAGGCTCCCACTCCTCTTATCTCAAACCCCCAGCACCCGGTCCTCTCTCTGGGCCCCGAAGGGCCCTCCCTTTGGGGTCCCAGGACCCCAACTCTCCAGGCCACTGCTCTGGCCTTGCATCCCCTCTGCGTTTTTCCTCCTGACTGCGCGCCTTTCTTGCCCAGGATGCCTCTGTGCTTGCTTCAGCTCATTCCCCCGCATCGCTGGGAGTCAGAAGCTGGGGCCACATGCAGACATGTGACAAAGGAACACGTGTGGACATAAAGCAGAGAGGCCAGAGCTCCCCGCAGACCATGACGGCCACCTGACCATACTATAAACGCAAGGCCCCTGCTACGCTTGTTCTTTTAAAACAAATGCCCAGAGCTCCTGAAAACGGACAACCGTGCTAGTCCTCAGAGGGCAGCCACTCTCTCTGAACCCCGATACACGCGGGGCCCAGTATGGGGCGCACAGAAAGCATTTCTTAAAAAGGGACAAAGAAAAGAACATCCGGTCCAAGTTACACATAAAACTTCTGTAGCAACCATGCTATAGCATCCTCTCAACCTGCTGGCTGCCTCTGAAGGAGGGTAAGCAGAGACAGGTTTCCTCTGAATTCTTTAAGGTACTTGCAAGATTAACACGGTCAAGTGTCAGCTCAGGGACGACGGCTTTCTGAGCCACCTTGGCTAGGGCTTCTAGAAGGGCTTTGCCCAAAGGAGCATCCCACAGTCCTTGCAGGGTGGTTTCAAGGCCAGGCTACACTACAGCCACATCTTCAAGGGCTGTCCTGGCACATACCTGGCCAAGGCCACATTGTCCTGGAGAATCAGTGGAGCACCGAGACTCTGAGGGACGCACGAGCTCTCCTCGGGGCCCAAGCGAAGGCGCGGGGCGGCGAGTGTGCTTGAGCTAGGGCAGCCACAGAGTCTGAACAGGTCTGATCGCGTACTATCCCCGTGGGCTGGACGCGCAGGACTCACCGTGTGATTTCGAGCGAGGGACACGTCCGTGCCGTCCTGCAGATAGTGGGTTTCCGTGAAGCTGCTGGCAATGAGGCCTCTGCGGGGGAAAAAACCATGAACAGCTGAGTGTAGGGTCGCATCGATATGCTGCTTGTGAAGGTTTAGGCCTCAGGGCAGCCGGGGATGGACTCCCCTGCCCAGCTTATTTTACCGAAGCCCCAGTCTTACTGGGGCTCCCAAAGGACCTCCACGGTGCAGGTTATCCAGGGAGAATCGGGGAGATCCAGGCAGGTGAGAGTCAGGCGTGTAGGCGTGGAACCATGGACACAGGGAGGCGCCCCCCCCCCCCGGTTCCTCCAACACACACGCAGGCGTCTGCGCGCCCTGGCATATGTGCACACAGGCACACACGCGTACACGCACACTGGACACACACACTGGACACACACACATGTTCACTCTTCTCTGAGGATTTCTTCTCTGTGGATTTCGGAGCTGGGAGAACCGCCCGCCTGGTGGTCCCAGGGCCCCGCTGTCTAGAATCAACGGCTCAGCCACCTGCTGGGACAATCATTTTGGATCCACAATCTTTGGCTCCCTAGTGGGTGAGTGAACCAGCCGTTGATGTTAAAATGTCAGAGAAGAGTTTAGAACAACACCGTAGGAGCTGAGGAAAAGGATTTTGGACACACTGAAATACTGAATTTCTAAGATAAACTGTAACAGGAGAAAGATCCTATTTATCTTGGCTGAGATTGTATGCCACCTACCGCATCCTCACTGGTGATAGCAAAGCATAGGAGCATGGGTTTAAGGGACTTTTCAATTTCTTTGGTAATGTGAACATTTGTAAAAATCCTTTTCAACATAACCGCGACAAGCGTTTCCTATTTACCTACTACATGCCAGGAGCTGTACTAGCTGGACCTCCCTGCTGGCTGCGGCCCCAAGTCCCCATGTGCTGGGCGTCCCTCTTCTGAGCTGTCACAGGACCCCTGGGCAGGCTCGCTGCCGGGGCCACAGCCCCCTGGGAAGGTCCGGAGCAGGGCAGGGACGGCCAGGCTGGGTGGGCCACTGAGGCCGGGGACAAGGAGCCTGGAGAGAGAGGTCGGTGGCCGGCTGTCACGCAGCAGAGAGCTCCAGGAAGGCGTGGCGAGCTGGGGACCCTGACAGGGACAGCCGCGGGGGAGGATGAGGAGACGGGGACAGGGGAGGGCCACGGACTTCCTTGGGGGGTGGGTCGGAAGGGAAGCAGAGAGATGAGATGCGAAGTCAAGAGGTGGGGACTTGAGGGGAGTGGGTCATCTAAAGAGACAGGCTGGAGAGAAGGTGATGGAGCGGGGGGGCAGCACTGCCGATGAGCCCGCGGAGGGCGGCGCAGGGCCCAGGGGACCACGGGGCGTGGCAGGGCCGGCAGAGTCCCTTGAGGCCCTGGTGGTGGTGGGGGCCTGGTCAGCTTCGAGGTCGCAGGGAGAGGGGCAGAAGAACAACTTAGTATAATTCAAATTGTGCGATTACTACTTGTGCTATTTGCTATTCATCAGTACTGTTATGTATCTCCTATTTTATGAACGCGTTAGTACTTCTGTTCTTCACAACACTGGATTCTGATTTTGAATGAACCAGGTGTATGAATCCCTAATGTGCAGAAAAGCAGGGCCCACCGTCAACGGCAGGGCGAAGGGGTGCACTTCGGGGCCTCTCCCTGAAGCTGGTTTCGGTGGGTGTCCTGGAGGATGGGCGCCACGTGGGGAGGACATGGGAGACCCGCCCAGGGAGCCGGGGCTGCAGACGGGCTTCTGGGGGGCACCAGTCCACATGCTTGTGCACCAGGGGAATTGGGGATTCCACGCAGCAACATTATTTCTAAGGTTTCCAAGGGTGAGTCAGCACAGTCAAGACCCATGAGGATTTCTGCCTAAACCGATCTCCTGCTCTTCGCTGTTACCCAAATGTCGCTGAAACGGAAACGCAAGCACAGCCGCACGTTGAGCTCTAGAGGGTTCCTAAGCACTATCCCGTTCGCCTTCATTGGAAGGGGGTGAACGGGGGCTTCTGGGTGCAGCCTGAGCGTGTCCCGTACTGCTAGGACATGGGTGACGCGCTGCGCTGGGCGTCTTCCTCACAGAACCTGGAGGAGATGGTGGCCGCTTGGCCCAGATGCGGCTGAACCGCCGGCGGCACAAACCGCCTGCATCGCAGGGCTGGGGGCCGTGGTGAGAACGGAGGCTTGGCCGCCTCAGCCCCAGCCCTCTGAGCTCCGAGGGGCCGAAGCTTCCTGGAGCCTCCTGTTCACGAGGCACTGAGGTGACAGGTGGAGGGAAGCCAGACAGATCGGGTGCTCCCGTATGGACCCCGCGGATCCGTCTGTGCCTCCACGGCAAGGGCTCCGTGGTGCACAGGCTGGGGGACAGGACCCAACCCGCTCTCTGACCCGTGCCCTTCGTGCCGGCCGGTCTACCTCACACTTCCGCAGGCTGGGAAGAGCCCAGGGCGGTGACGGAGCCCTCCAGGTCCCGCTGTGACATCCTGCCACTCCCCCGCTGAAACCCCCCAAGCCTTCCTATGGCATTTGGAATGAAACCCCAAGCCTTCGGCAGGCTCCTGGGGGTGCACAGCCTTACTCTCCCAATGCATTGTGCCTCCTCTCTGTGTAGCTCGCTCTGCCCCAGCCAACACTGCATCATCTGGCTCATTCTAGAACATTCTATCCCTATCCCACTTAGGGCCCTTGCATCTGCTATGCCTTGTGCCAGAACATTCTCCATGTGGCTTCCATGGGGCTGGTCCTTTTCATCCTTCAAGCAAAACAAACAAACAAAAATAAAATTTTTTATGAAGTACCTTGAATACTCTCAAAATAAATAAACATCTCTGCAGAGGAAACTTTCCTGGTCCTCTTGTCGAAAGTAGCTTCTGTCACCGCCACCCACGCAGCTTCCCTCTTCATTCATCTGATTACTTATTTGTCTATCTCCCCCTCAGAAAGGTAAGCTACAGCAGGGCTCTCTGCTCATCCTTGTGGCCGCAGCCCCGCCCAGGGATTTGTTAAGCCCCTTACATGCATCTCACTTGGTTCTGAAAGCATCCAGTAACCTAGTATCTGGCTCTGTAGGGTTAGGTACTACATTTTACCCAATTTAAACAAGGAAACCAAGATACATGGGGGTTAAGTGACCTGCCCAGGGCCACATTGTACATGGCAGCACCCTGTGGTTGTGCTCCAGAACTTGGCATTATTCATGACTGTGTGGCACTACCTTTACAAGCTGGTCAAAAGGTATTTATTGAGTGGTGGCTGGAAGCCCTGTGCTGAGTGCTCGGTGAATTCATGTTCAGTGGAATAATGGATGGATAGATGGGGAGATGAATGGATGGTAGGTGGATGGATCAATGAATGGATGATGGATAGATAGATGAATGAATGGAGGGATGAATGGTTGCATGGATGGTTGGATGGATGGATGATGGGCGGATGGATAGATGAACGGGTGAATGGATGAAGGACGGATGGATGAGGGCTGAGTGCTGGATGGATGATGGATAGATAGATGGATGGTGGATGGAAGAATGGATGATGGATGGATGGATGGATGGATGGATGGATGGACGATGGATGCATGGATGGTTGAGAGAATTTGAGAACACCACAGGCACATTCTCTTTTTGTCTAGAACTATCTTCTCCTAATTGCAAACATGGTTGCATATCCTTCTTAGGTACCGTGACTTGCTAAGGAGCCATGGATGAAACTGGAAAGGCATTCGGTCAAGGCTTTCTAAGATATGCGTCTAATTTAAAAGGGGCTGGAAGTCAAAGGTCCCTGAGAAAATGAGAGAGGCAGGTGGACAATGGCCATATTGGAAATGTGACAGCAATGACTCGCTGCCTTTAGATTTCCCGAGGGAGAGAATCCAATTAGATAGATTCTCTATGTCAGCAAGTGGAAACAGAAGGTGAATGCATAATTTCATGAGAACACCCTTTTCCCCTACTTATTAGATTAGCTGACCTAGCAAGGAATTCGCTTCTTTATATCAGAAAATAAAGTGTCAGGAGTTCACTTTGCTGTTTTTTCTCTGTTTTCCCGTTATAAGTGACATCTCCATGTTCTCTCACTTAACCGACATTTCATATGCTGGGTATTGGGAATAAGATACCCCAAGAGCTCACCACCTAGTGAAGAACAGACCCAAAAAGTGATTGTAGCTCCGCAATAGAGACGCATACACCCAAAGCATTGTGGGAATTCAAGGAAAGGCTTCTAACGCAGACGCCAGCCTGGAGGAGGCGGTACCCACGGGGAAGGGCGGGGAAGCAGTCAGGTTGAGAGTGAGTTGGGTAGGTGAAAGGAGGGGAGGAAGGAGGAGAGAACATTCTAGATGGAGGAAACTACATTCTCAAGCACATAGATGGTATAGAAACAGCATGTTAATGGAGAGGGGTGTAGATGTAAAACTATGGCGTTCCTGGTTGTTGGGGTGTAAAGTGTGAGTTAGGGAGACACACTGCTCAGACAGGCAGGCTGGGGACCAATCCTACAGGTTGCCAAGTATCACCGACTTCATCGCGCGCTGTGGGGAGCCATTAGTAGGGATGCGAGCGGATACAAGGTCTGGAGTGACAGGCCACTCTGAGAGACACTGAGGAGCTAAGGCTTGGCAGGGGAAGCGGCAGCAGGAAGCGAGGGGGTGGTGGGGGAGTCCAAGCCAAGGGGCACCCCAGGACATGAGCCCTCAGGACGGAAGCCTCGGGGCAGAGGACAGAATTAGGAGCCTCAGCTGTCTGCTGAGACAGGAAATTCATACAGGAGGGACGGGACCTGAGCCGAGTCCTGGCCATGCTGAATGTGAAGCATCTGAGAGACACTCTCTTGGCCACATCCAGGAAGTGGCTGGCTCTGCAAGCCCGAGATTTCTGGGGTGGCTTGAAGACAGAGATGGAGCCACTCAGACAGGACGCGCTTCCTTGATGAGAAAATGAGTAGAATCTCGTTCTTTCTGGCCAACCAGAGTATTCCCTGATTTCTATGTCTTTGGATATACAGGGTCTGGCACAAGTAACACCCCCTTTTTGTGATTACAAAATCTTTTATTA